GCCTTGGCTTACACTTGCACTGCTTCTGTGGCCATAGACTTTAGGCCTTTGTCTGTCTCCCACAGACCATCTTCCTACACAATTCTGTGCACACATCCAGAAGCCCCTTGCTGCTCTGGCTCCCACCTCTCTCCTAGGTGTAGCCCTCCTGATTCCTGGGCGATGACCTACTGTCTGCCAGAACCATGGTCAGGTAACTACTAAGGTTGCATTCACACTTGAGCGATTTGTAGCTTGAAGCTTGAAATTCCAAATATGCTCAAACTTAAAAAAATCAATTGTTCTCTATGGTGCCTTTTCACTAGGGTTGCCACCTCATCCCTTTAAAACTGAACACATATTAATTTCACAGGTTCTGAGGCTAATTTAATGCAGATAAGGCACTAAGTGATTTTATTTACCACCTTGATCAGCAGCAGAACCTGTGTAGTTAATATGTGTTCAGTTTTAAAGGGATGAGGTGGCAACCCTACTATTCACACCTGATCGCGTGAACAGGCACCATAGAGAACAATTGATTGTTTTTAAATTTGAATGTTTTTGGGGACTTCGAGTTTCAAGCTACAAATCACTCAAGTGTGAATGCATCCTCAAAGCCCAACACACACCTGACCGATTAGTGTGCTGGATGTTCACAAAACCTGGACCCAGGACTGGAGATATCATCCCTCCCGGATGACTTTGAAATCCTCCGGGTCATAACCTCTATTCAGACTCTGGCAGGGTGCCACCTGCTACACAACCTACAGGCTTGTGAATCTACAAAGACAATACTAATTGCCAGGGCTGGATCTAGCCTGTCCAATGTGGGAGTGCAGTAAAAAATGTCAGGGGGGCAGAGCATCAGAGGTCAGGGGGCAGAGGACATGTGTCACTACTGGCAGGGCAGAGGACAGGGGCAGAGCTCCTCCTCCCATCCCTGCACTGTACACAGCCTGGGCACAGGCAGCAGAACTCCGCACACAAAGTATAACTGAGATCAGTATAGTGTCAGTCAAGGAAAGTACAGTACAGTGTCAAACTAGGGCAGGAAAGTATCAGATTAGGCCAGTATAGTGGCAGGTTAGGGTTAGCTTTGGGGGGGGGGGGGGAAACTAAAATCTGGGGGGCATAGCCCATCCCAGCACCCCCATAGATCCGGCCATGCTAATAGCCATACACCACTACATCTCATTCCACTGTAATGCAAACAGGCACAGACTACACAAGAGTTGCAACTCTGCTCTGAATTCAGGAGCAGTGCAGCATTGTTGCCACCCCATCACAAGAAGCTGTATTAAGTGAATTTCACAGGCAGAAATAACAGGTAGGTTTTTAATAGGAGGCCATAAGTCTACTTTAAAAGACATCTCTTACATACCATGTAGTAATATTACATTTGTAGGATAGATTGGGGTGGAGAAAACTATTTTTTTCCATATGGAGGATCTGCTTCTCCTCTCATACAAGTCATGGGAATATAAAACCAGCTCAAAGTAGGCTAATGCAGCCTAAATGAAGTCAACTGCACCTGATAATGATTAGTGAGTGCTCTAAGAATTCTAAACTAATGTCAAATGCAAACATAATGAACTGAAAAGCATCTACCTATAGACACAATCCCTTATATCTCTAAGCACAATAGTATCTACATAACATATTTACACTAGAATCAGTTCTGACACAACACACAGGTCCTAAGGGTATCAACTGCTTCTTTACAAAATTTCTGTAATACCCACTAAAAAATCATTACCTACCTACTTTTATAATATAACACAGATCCTCTTTTTTATAATAGTGAGTAAATATTGCTCCCATGGCACAACCAATATGCTGTGTATTTCTCAAGCACAATCCAAGATGCATTGCGAAGAATTGAGCAACAAGTGTGATGCCGTCATGCCTGTAATCTCTCCCGGGTTGCTGAATTTTTTCTTAAATTAATCAATAGAATATTCACAATTCTAAATCGCTAACAAATATTAATGTTTTTCATACTTGCGATGGGCATATGGAACAAAGCGTTTCCTTAAAGAGGACCTGCTGCTTTTGAATATATTTTATTCACCAGCTATTTAAGTCCTCATGCACACTTGACATTTTTACAGTGGCTGTTTTTGGCTTTTGACGTTTTTTTTTTCTACCGCTAGTAAACCCCCCAGCATGTTATCCTATGTGTCCATGCATACATAGACTGTAATCAACATTTTTTGGATGGGATGTTTTTTGACTGTAAAAAAACCCAGGACTAGTTGTTTTCTAGAGAAGTTTTTTAGCTGTAAAAACGCTCTAACACTGGAAAACATGGCAAAACGCGGTAAAACATGTTAAACTGCCGCAAACCAGAGTTTTTTGGACTTTTTTTGACCAAAAAAACCCAATTTTTTGGTAAAAAAAAATGCTAACAAATGCAAATATGGAAAAACACGGGAAATGCCTCTAAATGTAGCAAAACGCTGCAAAACACTAATGCAATAATGCTAACAAAAAGCAGAAAACACTTTTTTAACGTGACTTTACACAGCTAATGTTACCAGCGTTATCAAAACGTCAAGTGTGCATGAGGAGCTATTCTAATTCTATTCTTATACTGGAATCCAGAAAGTAGAACAGAACCTCATCCACTGATTTATCCTGGGGAAAGGCACAGTGATTTCCATGCATTTGATTTTGGCCCATTATGCAATGTGGCATTGTCTGGAAAAACAATATCTTATCTAGTTTGTTTAGAATTTATATAACCTTACAATAATATGGTGCCCTACAAGGTAGCATTAAATATTATTAGCTACAATGGAAATTTTAAACAATGTATCCAGTCCAATTGTGTGACTATTCTGTATTTATTGTGATGTAATAAAGTTTGTTTTGTTTAAAACCACTCATTGCACTCTGTTTATTACATGGCTTATCTATCTATCTATCTATCTATCTATCTATCTATCTATCTATCTATCTATCTATCTATCTATCTATCTATCTGTCTGTCTGTCTGTCTGTCTGTCTGTCTGTCTGTCTGTCTGTCTATCTCTCAATCTGTTTCAAAGTGATAAAGATTAGAACGTGATTGAAATTCAAATTACGGTTTAGCTCTTTTCACTCATATGATTTTGTAACAGTGTCTAAAGGGAACGTCTACTTTTAACGAGTAACTCCACTTTTGTTGAGAAGAAAACAATTCCCACTGGGTGACCTATGTACCTTGCAGAGATTTTAACAAACTTTGCTGCAGTTTCCTACCTTTTGTTATTCTACATAAATAGCTATTTGGTTCTCGGTGGCCATGTGCAAAATAGATGTGAATGGGAGTGATTTCATAAGTATCAATCAGCTGATGTCTTGCAGGGTTTTAATCAGGACAGTTGCAGGGTCTGCATCCCTTTTGACATAATTTTCCTTTTGGGGGTATCCATATCTCCCAATTTTCTGAGATGGGAACGAGGGAAAACTATGAGCAAAAGTATGTAGGCATAGGACACACCCCCTGCCCCTCTACCTTATACAAAAGAAATTATTGGTTTAACCCACATGCAGAGGCGGACTGACCATTCAGCCACTTGGGCATTGCCCGAGGGCCCGGGGTCAGTAGGGGGCCCCAATAATTCCTTTCATAGACTTTCTTGGGTGTGGTTTGAGTGTGGGCGAGGACACAGGGGTCCCCCCAATCCCCTATTGCCCGGGGCCCCACGAGTTGTCAGTCCGCCCCTGCCCACAAGTGCTTTTTTAACCACTACTATTCCTTCATATTGGCTTTTGAAATTTACAAATTTGGCAATTTAGAAAATGGATGAAAGGTTTAACACTGTAAAACACTTATTGATAAATAGTGCATTTTACATACAACTACTGTTTATATATCAGACCAAAATGAGGGACAAATGAGGGGAAGGAGGGACAGAGGGACTTTGTTCCAAATGAGGGACAGTCCCTTGAAATCAGGGAGCTATGTGTATCGCACCAAAAATTACAAACAATTACATTACAAAATCTGATTTGCATCTTAGAGCAGACTTCTGTGAAAATCAATTAGCCAATCATACAAGCAGGAAATTACATTTTTGTACAAAGTCTGTGTACAGAACACCTCCAGGTTGTCATAGTGCATTGCATTTTACAGAAAATTACAGTGCTGTACATTGAAAAGGAAAGGTCATTTTTAATTACATTCAATTACAACATGACTTGTGTTGAAATTGTACATGCTATATTGCTTTTTTCATTTATTATTTTTTTCCGCACAAAAGTGGAGTTACCCTTTAAAGTAAAGAAGACCCCAGCTTTGAACCTCATAGTGTAGTAAATGGGATCATGTTAAGGGAGCCAAATAAAATGTAAGAAATACCTTACGCTTACACAGAACTGGCTAGATATAGCCCAAGGAATGAAAAATGACATGCTTTAATAACATTTAGAGATGCGTTTTAAGTTTTTAAACTGCAAATTAAATCTTAAACTGCATTTTCCAATGTACCCCTTCACCTCCTTGAACAGTTACATTAACCTCCTTAGCGGTCTGATCATATCCATATTTCTATGCTCAAAGCGGTACACTTTTTTGCATAGAAATATGTATTTTTTTATTGTAGGCCTGTAATTTTTAGGAATAACTCAGGGAAATCTGTCCAAACAAGAATCTAGTAAACATCCCGGGTATGTTAAGATTTGAAACACAAAATCATAAATTATAATTTACTAAATAATCATAAATAATAATAATAAATTTAATTCAATAATATAATCAAACCAAAAACTCTGAAATTTGTAATATAGCTCAAAGTTTGCACATCACTGAGCAAAGTCGTAAAATCGTTTTCAGTGTCTGATGATGAATTTCCCCACGAATCATTATCACTCAATTCTGCAAGTGGTTATAATTTACTATCGCTGTTCTCTAGCTGGTCTAAAACCGCTTTTGACCTAAAGGGACGCTTTTTGGACGCCATGGACGTTTCTCAGTTTCCAGGCAGAAAGAACAGGCAAATTGCAGGCAGGGCACAGGACAAAACACTAGGGACAAAATGTATGTGAAATGGTTTGATACAGTAATGTTTTACTATGTGATTTTAGTGAATTTAGTGAATGTCACTTTTTGTCATTTTCAAATTTCCCACCGTTCCATCCCCATACGTCCTGACGTCGCAGGGGACTGAACCCAGATGACAGATGCCGGCATCCGCCAGAGGACATTACAGGGGACACTGCAGGAGGGAGCGCAGGACAAGGTAAGAGAAGAACAGATCCCGGAACAGCGCCTTAATGGTAAGCCTGAGTGTAGCTCGGGGTTACCTCTTTTGGTACTGAAACTTTACCCTGAGCTACACTCGGGAATTCCGCCAGGGAGGCTACATAAAAACATGGACTTCAATCCAGAAACAACTATAGTGACTGAGCAGAAGTAGACAGCTGCAGAGTCCCTGTGAACTGCCCATATACCAAACAATAGGTTGATCGATAACCCGCAAAATTCTTTTCAGCTGGCTAATATTAACACAGAAATGTTGAGTCTTCATTGTTGTGGTCCTGGCATGGACTGACCATCATAGCAGAACAGGGTCACAGATAACAAACAAATCCCAGTGGAGTGCCAAATCCTGAAAATCTTCACCCAAATCATAAAAGGCTTTGGGGAAATGTTCAGAGGCAGTACCACCTGTAAAAGCAACAAGCCATCATATTCTTGCTGTTTATGTGACGCAAAGCATCATGGTTGAGGCATGTGTACATCCCTGAGTAGCTGCATTCCTTAGTTTAGGTAGGAGGCTGGCTTAGGGTAAAACCTGCAACTCAACCCCCCCCCCCTTCAGTCACTTGTGAATGAGTCCTAAGAAAACAACTGGCACACATTTGTGTAGAAAGCATCCTCCAGTGCCATATTTAATCTTTCCATTGCCTGCCATATGTTCCAGTAGATCCCAAATAATTTATGCATCTTGAATTTTACATGGTTTTTGCAGGACAGATAAGATGAGTCTAAGGGAGTTTGACCTTTCCAAAGACAATGGGCCTGATAAACTATCAGCGGTGCAACATTAAAGTGTTATGTTGCCTTTGCAAAAAACTGCTTATGCAATTAAGGGGTGAATCCAAAGAACAGAGGTATACCACTCAGGCAAACAATCCAGATCAATCCACAACAGGTGCAGGCTCTGGCTCGCCACCACACACGATGCAATAGGAAGAAGGAACACAGGGAGGAAAGTGAGCGCTAAAATGGCTAGCTGCACCAAACACCAAACACCAAAAAGGTACCAAAAAACTTCCAAAGTAACAATATAGATATGGGTGCAATGCTAAAATATGAATATCAAACATCAAAAAAATGCAAATAAATAAGAAAAGTGCCAATGCAATAATAAATATATAAACGTATCACAGTGTCAAGTTATATTTAAGGTGATTGATGGTGTGCAAAAAGTGGTCTTATAATCATAATGATAGTATGTCCATGAAGTGACCAAGTGATGACACTACATATTGTCACTATAAAGTGACCACTAGTGCTGAATAAAGTGCCAATAGTGATAAATAAACATCCAAAAAAGAAGTGATAAATGTAAGATCCAATTATGATCTCAAAAGCTGGTGATCGATATCATATAGCCAACGATACGGTTATGTGCCAAGTAATGGCAGAATTGCGCACTCACCAGATGCGCAATTAAATCACGCATTTAAAGATAAATACTCTCAGTGGTCAGCTGGAGGTCCTTTAACGATATGTACAGTCTGGTCTGGAGTTCCCTCTCTAGATCATCGTCACTCTCTATATGATCGCTAATAGGTTCCCCTGCACTGTACAAAGCCATACATTGTGCACAGCTCTCCCCTGTCAAGCAGTACTCTGTACCGGAAGTACCGATTAAGCACGAGATTGTGTGAAACGCGTTAACAGGTCCTGTATTCATGTCCCGGTGTTTTGTGTGTCCTATGGATCAATAAATACACACTATATTTATCTATCCTCCGGTGTGCGGCTGGACCCTTCTTCCTATTGCAATTTAGGGGTGTTCTGTCCCCACATGAAGGTATAACAGATAATGGCTGCGTAACTTCCTACCTTCTTATCCAAGCAGTGGAGCAGACCGGACTGGCAGATGCTCGGGTTAGATGGATCCAAAACGTATACACGGGAATGAAATCAGCGTGGGTTTATTTGATCCAAATACAGCGACAAGCGGTGATACAATACTGTAATGTAGTAGAGGTATTGATGCTGTCCTGTGATATCTTTCCTGAGGCTAACTGCTGGTCAAAAACTGATGCCTTCACAAGCCCTGGGTATTAAATGTCCTGTTACACAGCTATGAAACACATAAAATGGCTGCAGGAAGTGACCAGGACCAAGGCTGCCTAAAACCACACCCAGCAGAGGAAAAGCTTTACTAACAAGAGCTGAGGCGTGCAGCATGCAAATTCTGACCAACAGATGGTAGTAAACAGATCAATGCATAGAAACGACATGGTGAAATAAGAACTGGTAATACAATGTACAGTTATATAACAAACATGAGGAGAACAGCACAAGGGGTGTCAATAGTAAAACAAATGGGGCTACTACGAACAATATTGACTAATGTATCTGCTATTGCTGTTGGCAATTTTGGCTCCTCCAGAAGTTTGCCCAAAAAGCTCCTAAAGCCAAAATTCCCCCATCCTGTCCTGTTGCTAGGGCATTGCTTTGATGCATCAGCCAACTCTCCAGCCATTGATGCCTCCATCACAGGAGTGCACTGTTTCTTGGATTCAACACACATGCATGTGCTTTCTCTCATCTGTTACAGATAGCATACCACTCATGTGCCATTTTGAATATGAAAAGAAAGACGCATGAAGGTTGAGGCAAGCATCAATGGTTGGTAGCCATTTAACGACCAACACTTAATGAATATTTCCTTCACAGGCCTGAGCAACCACCTAGATACAGTAAAACAGACTGCTACTACTACTAAAGTGAAGCATAAGTGGTAAAGGGCCACATACAGCCGCCGGGCCTCAGGTTGGGCACCTGGGAGTTATTGTATGTGCACATACACTTTTCCTGAGTTCAGAGCAAGGCCTCTGAATAGGATTGTTGCACTGTGTTCAGCAATGCACACAAAGGCTGCTTATACCCAGTGGGGCTCCAATAGCTGTCTACACGTGTCCTAATGTTTTTTTAATATAGTACAGGTGCTTTCTAAAAGAAGTGAGAGATCAGATAATAAAACATGAAATAAAATGGAAATTTCAAATGAATATTTCTTCATATAAATTCATTTAGCCAAAAAAAAAACCCCGCTGACCAAACAACATAATTTGTATTTCTTGGCCACCACAGTAACAGCATCCAGATAGAGTGTTCATTACTATAGAACTCTGGGGCTTTTTCAAATCAGTTTATTTTCCACATTTAATATAAACTGAATGAGTGGAATACCATGTACTTTGTTTCCAACTCTGAAGTCCCTTGGCTGTGTTCTGTAAGAAAATATATTAAATTAACTGAGAGAGAAGAATGTTACAGAACTAATATGAATCAGAGAAGGAACTCAGTTACCAAGTGAAGTGTGAAAGTTACTTTATATTTTGGAAAGAGTGCTAGTATCCAGTTAAGTGATACATGGGGGGGGGGGGGGGGGGATTAATTTGTAAAACAGTTCCACAGATTTATTTAATTCATATATGCTTCCCTCTAAAAAATTATCACTATGCCAATATAAACCTCCCATGACCACTTGTTAAATTTCCACGCAGAGACAAAAACAATTATAAAGACACCTAACCCACTTTGTTCTTTTAGTTACCTGTAACCTGTCATCCCCTAAGGGTCCAGTTGAGTAGTCCCAAGGTTCTTTTCCCAATCTAGTGTATTAGCAGCCAAGAACACAGTTTCAGTCTCCATGACAGTCTAGGTGTATCTTTTCTCTGATGCTTTATTAACCGCTTGCTCTCTAGAGGATTTACCCCCCTTCCTGACCAGGCCATTGTCAGCGATACGGCGCTGCATTACTTTAACTGACAATTGCGCGGTCATGCAATGCTGTACATAAATTAAATTTATGTCCTTTTTTTCCCAAAAATAGAGCTTTCTTTCGGTGTTATTTGATCACCTGTGCATTTTCTATTTTTGTGCTCTATAAACAAAAAAGATTGACAATTTTGAAAAGAAAAACAATATTTTTTAATTTTTGCTATAAACCATATCCAGTAAAAAAATTTAAAAAATCAAATTTCGTCATAAATTTAGGCCAAAATGTATTCTGCTACATGTCTTTGCTAAAAAAAAAATCCTAATACATGTAAGTTAATTGCTTTACGTGAAAGTTATAGCGTCTACAAATGGCGGTATATATAGTGGAATTTTTATTATTTTTTATACTAGTAATGGCGGTGATCAGCGACTTATAGTGGGACTGTGGGACTGCGGCGGGCATTCTGACACTGGGGGGAACTGACTAACTGCCACAGACATCCCATTACACTAATACTGTCATCAGCGCTAATAAAAAGCACTGACACTGTACTGACACTGGGCAGGAAGGGGTTAACATGAGAGGCGATCAAAGGGTTACCTGTGCGCTGTGTGTATTTTACTATGCAGAAAAGCTGCTTTGTATTGCTCTGCTATATATGCTATGCAGAGCAATACAAAGCAGTCTGTTTGTGCTGACAGGGGAGAGATCAGTTTTGTTTACACACAGACCTCTCCCCTTTCACTGTTCCTCGGCAATCGCCGGGTGCCGGCAGGGAATCTTCGGCTGGGACCTGGTGATCGACAGCTGTAGCCGCCCCCTACCAGGAAATGCAAAATCACATATATACTGTATATATGATTTTGCACAGCCCTGCTACCCTGTAGCAGTAGTACTGCTCCTTCCACCCACCTATGATGAGCAAAAATCTATTTTGACTATGCTGACATACAAACCTCAGAAGTGCACAATTCAACTAAAAGTATACATTTTTTGCTCAGAATAAACACACTCATCAACCCACATTCATGCCAGAACAGGCCTAATTCAAAGGGAAAATTCCGAAGGGAACTTCTCCTCCTGAACAAGAACCCTACTGTTCCAAGCCTCAGAATTTTTATGCACTCCCCAGCCACCTACTGGGCACACTTCTCCAGGAATTGACTGGGACCACATAAATATTCAGGCTGCCTATTTAACTCTCCCAGCCCACTACATTCCAAAACTTTCCAGAAGGCAGGGAAAAACAGTCAAACCTGCAACCAGTGAGACACAGAACAGCCCAAAATAATCACAAACTGCTAAGCTGATTACAGGAGAGGTACAGGAACTAAATGTACCTAACTTAATTGGCAGCCTGTGTAGGAAGGTGCTACATGCCTAAGCTTGCCATT